GATGCTCCCGATCCGGGAATTGAACCCGGGCCTCCCGCGTGACAGGCGGGGATTCTCACCACTATACTAATCGGGATGTTCCGTGGGTGATTGGGCAGCGACTGCGCATATACGCATTTTGCCTTGCCGTTGGGCCGCGGTCCGGGGGGGGAGGCAGCCCGGGGGCATGCACACACACGCACACACGCACACAAACACTTGGGAAGGCAGACGACTTGCCCCAGGCGGGGGACATGTATTTGGAGGGGCTGTTGCGAGGAGTGTTTTTTTTATAGGATGGGTACAGGGGGAGAGAAGCTAACAGGCTAGTGTATATGTAGAGAGGAAGAGGGGAAGGAAGGGGGAAGGAGAGGGAAGGGGGGGGGAGGGAGGGGGGATGGGGACAGGAGCGGACAACAGTGTGTGGCCAGACGCAGGTGGCACAGGGGCGAAGGGCACACCGGCATGCGCACACATGCACACACGCACACGCACACGCACACGCACACGCACAGAGGCCTGCTTAGTTGCCCATCCGGGTGCGGATGGCGCGGATGAACTGCGAGTAGGACATGGCGCCGGACCCATGCGAGTCGCCCGAGCTGGCCGCCTCGTTGGCGCCCCACGGGCAACGGTCCTCCAGCAGGGCAACCAGGAACTCCGAGCGCTCCGGCGGAGAGCCACCGCCCGAGGCGGCATCCTCCCGGAGGAGGATCAGCGGCTGGTACAGGGGGCTGCAGTTGCGCTTGCGCGCCGCGTCAATGACCGCATGGATGCGCTTGACGTAGTCCGACACCGGGACCGAGTCGTTGGCCACCCGGACCGGGGCGGCAGTCTTGTGGCCGGGCAGCAGGATGCGACCCTGGCCAAGGGCCTCGTAATTGGGGATGCCGAAGAGCTCCTGCAGCAGGGACGAGTGGGCCTGGCGCCGGACAAAGAGGAACACATGCTGCCCATCCAGCAGCAGGTAGATCCCATGCGGCTGGGTCACCTCGAGCGACAGGCGCAGGCGCGGGGGCATGACAATGGTCGGGTCGCTTTCCGAGACCGGGTTGCCGACCTGGCGGGTTTTTTTTTTCCCCCCCCATTGTCCCATCATCCGGGAGAAAGCAATGCATGAGTATTCGGCCAGGGGGCAGAGAGGCGAGGCGGCAAAGGCGGGGGAGGGGGCGTAAAAGGGCATGCGGAGAGGAGCGCCCAGCCAGGGCGCGG